TTGTACAGGCACTTCTATATGGAGAATATACAAATGGCAAATAAGCACATGAAAAAATGCATTAACATCATTAGTTATTAGGGAAACACAAATTGAAAAAACAAGATAAAACTTCATACCTACTAGAATGGCTTAAATGAAAAAGACTGATAATATCAAGTGTTGATGAGGATGTGGAGCAACTGGAATTCTCATATGTTGCTGGTGGGAATAAAAAGTGGTACAGTCACTTTGGAAACTAGTTTGACAGTTTAAAAATAAATCTCAATTTTTTTTTTGAATTAAGCGTTAGTAACGTTTTTTTGATCAATACTAAGAATGAAAGAAGCTTATATCAAAAGTAATTTGTTGATTCATAAATGGAAGTCCAGGGATTTTTGCTTCAGGTGTGGCTGGATCGAGATATTCAAATGATGTTATCAGAAAGCTATTTTTCCTAAGCTCTGTTTGTACTGGATTGGCCTCAACCTCAGGCAGGCTTTCTCCTTGTGGTGGGCCCCACAGCTCAAGGTTGTCATATTCACAGCTCCAGGTGCAGTGGAAAGAAGTTTTCTCTTCTCTAAGAGTGTTGATTAGAGTCCCAGGGCTAATTCTCATTGACCTAACTTTGGTCATGTGGCCATGGCACAGCATAACCTAATTGGCTTGTATCTGTGTTATGTGCCTACTTTTGGAGCTAGGGATGGAATCAGCCCCACATGAGCTACATAGACTGCAGTGACACGGGTCACATGGCTAATGATGAAGCCAGGGTTTGGGTCCTGGACTGTCTGATTGTTACTTGTTCTTAGCCACTTCTCCATCTGCCTTCAGTTATAGAAAGCAAATTCATGTCCTTACAGAATGTTTGGAAAGTGGAATATTTCTCAAGTAGGGAAAAATATAGAAAAGATGATTAAAAAAATAACTCAGCAATAATCACCATGGACCTTTTGATTTGTTTTCATTTAATCATTTAAAACAACATATTTTTCCTAAGGCACTTCATTCTGTATGATAGGTTTTTTTTTGTTTGTTTGTTTTTTGCCTTGAATTTTCTCTGGGTCTTTTTCAAGGCCTAGCTCAAGACTTCAAGTACTTTCATGTTGAAATACAACTCCATGTGTGAAAGAGTTCTGTAAACTCTAAATCCCTGTGCAACTCTTACCTGTTCTTCCTATTATAGAACTTACTCTAATTTTCTAGCTTCCTTATTGTTTCTCACAGAGCTGCCCTTCTGGCTTATGGGTCCTGCAGCCTTAGGTAAATTGGCTTGAAGATTCACACACTCTAGAGGACATTAGAAATATCCAAGGCACTAATTAAAAATGCACTAATCTTGATTATGTTTTGTAAACACGAGCATACTAATTATCCTGATTTGATCATTACATACGGTACACATGTATTGATATTTGATTCTGTACCCCACACATATATATAATCAATAAAAAAAACCCCAAATACTAATCTAGACTCCACCCCTGGACATCCCAAGGTATAGTAGGTAGAGAACGGCTTCAGGAATATTTTTAAATTAGCCTTTTAATTAAAATTTACCATTCATACAGAATTGTACATGAAATCATGTGTACAGCTTGCTGAATTTTTACAAAGTGAGCATACCCATCTACGTTGTTTTGTGAGGTTGTAATTCACTATTCTCATGCTGTCTTAGATTTAATTATACATACCTTCATTTACTTATCCATTCTAGTGTAAATGGACATTTGAGTTGTTGCCAGGTTTTGGCTGTTATGAATAGTACTGCTTTGAATATTTTAGTTAATGTCTTTTGGTGAACATATGTATGAGTTCTTTAGGGTATATATGTAGAAGTGGAATTGCTGAGTCTTACTATATGCATATTTTCAGCTTGAATTGAGACTGTCAGTTTTCCAAAGAGAAAATTTTCAAAGTTTATTCTCACACTTGCTATATGGGAGTTCCAGTTTCCCTCTATCCTTACAAACACTTGGCTTTATCTCTCTTTTTCATTTTAGCCAGTCTGTGTGGTGGTATTCTATTGTGCTTTTAATTTTCATTTCATTTTCATGAGATTGAGTGAATTTTCAGGTATTTATTGACTGGGTATTGTCTTTTGTGAAATGCCTTTTGAAGCATTTTGTGCATTTTTCTAGTGGGCTGCCTACCTAGTTCTTAAAGATTTTTAGCATTCCTTATATATTTTAGGTTTGAGTTCTTTGATGACTATACATATTGTCAGTACTTTCTTCTGCTCTGTAGCTTGCTTTTCACTCTCTTAATTGCGTCTTTTGATTAACAGAACTTATTTTAATGTATTACAATTTATTCATTATTTCTTTTGAGGGTAGTGCTTTTTCCATCCTGTTTAGGAAATCACTGGCAACCTCAAAGCATGCAGATATTCTTTCATATTTTCTACAAGATTTTTTTTTTTTTGGCACAGACATCTTTTTAAGAAATAAGTACCTAAGTAATTCTGATGTGGAGTCCACAGATCACATTTTGCAAAGCTCTGTGATTTTTTGCTCTAAGCCTTACATGTCCTTTAAAAGCTATGCACCCTCCACCCGAAGCCAGGGTCACCATTCTGGACTTCCCTCCTTCAGGGTGGGCTCATCTCACAAGCTCTCATCCTCAGGCCATTGTCTCTTCTTATGGAGTCCTATGATAGGGACATACTCTCAAACTTGCCAAAGCCAGATATAAATGAGTGGGTGGGCAGGTTGGGGACCATGGTGGCTGGACATGGTTTAACATAAATGTCCCGTGGAAGGACAGCAACCACTCAGCCATTGGTGATTGTTGCCATGTGAAAATGAGGGCCTTGGGCTACAGATCTTCCAAGTTTCAAAGCAAACCGAAGCACCTTAGAAATACTCCTATTTCTAAATGATGTCAAACAATTCAAACTAAAAACTCATTGTGTGGGTGAAAAAAAACCCCCAAAACAAAACGATGTTGGTGAGTTTGCTATAGTCTATGGTCAAGCTTTATCTTAGGGTGGGGAAGCAGGCTGTCACTCCAAGGGTGGTCCTGGGACCAGTGGTCTAAGCGTCACCTGGCAACATGTTAGAAATGCAAAGCCTCAGCTTTCAACTACTGAAGCAGAAACTGCATTTTATCAGTATCCCCAGGTGATTCATACAGACATTAAAGTTTTAGAAGCACCAATCCAGACATGTGGTTCTCAACACTGGCTCAAATTAGAATCATTTTAATAAACAAATAAACAAAAAATCTATGGCTGCGCTATGGACCACAAAAATCAGAATCTCTGGGTATGAAGCTTAGGCATTGGTATTTGTTAAAAACAACTTGGGTGATTCAAATAGGCAGTCTGGGTTCAGTACCACTAATTTAGATCAATCCTTCATTTATAAATGGGGAAAGTGAAATCTCAAAAAGTGGACAGGGGAAGTGTCTTGCCCACGGTCATTTAACTAGTGTATGGGAGAATCGGATTTGTGCTCATTCTCATATCTCATGATTCCCAAGCCAGTGCTTTTTTGCTGCAGTAGTATTTGGTTCCTGGGGACAGAACTACAGAGTGATCTTGTTCAATGATAGCTCATTACTGCCAGATTTCCAGCTAAGCTACTTAGCTTTCAGCACTGAGCAGCTAACAAGATTTACTGGATGAAGAACTGTGAGTTGATGGACCTCTCCTTCTGCCTATTCAAGCTGAAAACCATTTCTTCTCTCTGTATATCACCCAAAACAGTGCTAACTGCTCCTGCTATGAAAAAATGGAAGGTCCTCCACTTGGGTGTCAAAATCTCCCTGCATAGGCACAGAATGGAGACAAGGGCCCTTGGTAGCAGTATGAGAACTCAGGGTCGGCACTAACCAACAATGAGAGTGACTGCTCCATCCCTGGTGCACTCTTGGACTGTGTCATTAGGAGCACAGGTCCAGAATGCAAAACCTGGTAGGCCTGCTTGACCTTGATCCACAATTTTACAAGAAACTGGGAGGATTAAATGAGTGACTCACAAATAAACAGTGGTTAAGCCAAGATTCCCAGCCCTTCTTTCCAGGTTAATGCTTATAATATTCTGACCCCATGAGATAGTCCTTGAGTTTCACAGTTAAAAGGATAGAGTCCAGCAATCAAAATTAATGTGTTAAGTACTTGAGTTCCCTTGCTGTATTTTGAGAATACCGTGAAGGAAACACATAATGCTTATAATATTCTGACCCCATGAGATAGTCCTTGAGTTTCACAGTTAAAAGGATAGAGCCCAGCAATCAAAATTAATGTGTTAAGTACTTGAGTTCCCTTGCTGTATTTTGAGAATACCGTGAAGGAAACACACATTCTATAACATTACTGGTGAGATTCCCCTCTGTTCTTTTATATGTAGTTCTTAATGCTTTATAGCTGCACTCTCTTCTCTCTTTTCAACTCTCTGCCATCCAAATAACCTCCGCCCCAGCCCTGTCTTGATCTTCTCCATTTCTCTCCACTTCTACAGCTGTAAAGACAGGAACTTTTTGGAGAGCTGGGAGGAAAGAGGTCCCAGACAGGACCCTGTTTAGTGGGCTGATAGGACAGCCTGGGGAAAACCACACATTTCAAGGCCATTACTGCTATGCCCAGTCATCTCTCTAATCATGCCACTCTCCCTCACTCTACTCTGGCCCCCCGTTATCCATTCACTGACTTTGAACGTTGTAGCAGTCAGTTCCATAATAATCTGCACAGACTCAATGTACATTTAGCTCCTTCAGTGTACTAAGCCATGGCACTTGGTCTGACCTGTGGCGAGGGAACTGTCTTTTTAATAAATGGGGACACTGAGGCTGCTGCAGGATTGAGACAGCATATACGACAGTCCTTTGATTTGATAGTATAATTATAAGGCAATAGTGATAACAATTAAAATTCTTCCATGCCACCAGTACTGGAGAAAAACTGTCACTTGACAGAGGATTGCAGTCCTTGGCTATAACTTGCTTACATTCTCAGAAATAGCATAAGCAATTACATTATTTCATTTTTCATATTCATAATTTCATTTTATCTTCTCCAGGTAAAGGAACTTCTTCCAAGGATCCAACCATATTGACTGAGTGTCTATCCTCAACTGAATACAAGGAAAAATGTTTTCTGCCACAGAACATGATAACAGGTATCTAAATCACAAAGACGAGCCCGATTTGCCTTATCTCTCCCATCTGATGACTTCCTCCCTCTTACTATTCCCAGGTGCCACCACTAAATACCTCTTTGTAAGCATGACTTTGGCTATGGCATTCACTTGCTCACAAATCTTCCATTACTCTCCATTGCCTGTAAGGTTAATTTAAAACTTCTCAGGCTGGTACTCAAAGCCCTTCACAGTCTGACACATATTAGGAGCTCCATACATATTTGCTGGCTGTGTTAAAGGAAGTATATCATTGATTAGTTTTTAAGGTGCTGGCAGGGGGAGCAGAGATAATTTTTAAAAAATAATCATGTGTTCATCGTGGTACCTCAAAGAATTGTTTGTACATAGTTATCATAATTTCATTTTATCTTCTCCAGGTAAAGGAACTTCTTCCAAGGATCCAACCATATTGAGTGAGTGTCTATCCTCAACTGAATACAAGGAAAAATGTTTTCTTCCACAGAACATGATAACAGGTATCTAAATCACAAAGACGAGCCCGATTTGCCTTATCTCTCCCATCTGATGACTTCCTCCCTCTTACTATTCCCAGGTGCCACCACTAAATACCTCTTTGTAAGCATGACTTTGGCTATGGCATTCACTTGCTCACAAATCTTCCATTACTCTCCATTGCCTGTAAGGTTAATTTAAAACTTCTCAGGCTGGTACTCAAAGCCCTTCACAGTCTGACACATATTAGGAGCTCCATACATATTTGCTGGCTGTGTTAAAGAAAGTATATCATTGATTAGTTTTTAAGGTGCTGGTGGGGGGAGCAGAGATAATTTTTAAAAAATAATCATGTGTTCATCGTGGTACCTCAAAGAATTGTTTGTACATAGTTAGTGCTCAGAAAACATTTGATAAATAAATACACGAATCATTGAATGGATATGTAAAGGTCATGTTTATATTCTATATAATACCTAACACAGTATCTTATATGTAGTAGGTTCTGAATAAAGATTTGTTAAATAAATAAATAAATATGAGAATGAAGGGTTGAATATTGTAGGGTGAGATTGGCTGAGCAGAAGGGCTTCTATATGAATCTTTCAGAAGCAGAAAAAGATTTAGAAATTAATGAGAAAAAAAATCTCATTCTCAATACATGTCTCTCACGAGGTCCCCTTTACAAGACCTCAAAGAAGCCTGAAGGAGAAAGCTGTCATCAGAGAAAGCTATACCTGGGCTGAACCCTGTACCAGAAACTCTGAGGACAATCTTATAGAAGACTTGATTTCTGTTGTACAGTTAGGAGGGAACATTTTTGAGGGCAAATCATATGCCAGGCGATCCTCACATACTCTTCTAATTCTCACATGCTCGCTTCTAGGTGGAGACACCAAATCCCTGCTTAGCAGATAGGAAACAATCTCAGTGAAGAAAATGACTTCACTACCATGGAGTTGATGCATGTTGAGAAGGAGATGCAAACCCCAGTCCTTGTTCATAACCATGATACTCCATAGTGCCTCCAAAAATATACTTCTCTATGGGATACAAAATAAAGATTTGTGAAAAAACGATTTACATTATAAATGTTTTTAAGAATAAATCATGTAAATAGATATTGTATAAATGTCATACCCAGTTCTTTCTTTTCTCAATTTTAAATTCTGTTAAACTACTTGGCTGACAATGAGAAAAACCTTGCCCCCTGTTTTTTGCTATTGTGGCAACCTGTTTATCTGTCTCTCAGCTTGGCCCATCCCTGAACAAGCATGCATTACCATCTGTTGTTTCATGAGTGCAGTGGAGTCAGCATTTTGCTTTATCAATGCTTGAAGGCTACTGAAAGGAGGGTATCTGTAGGTGAAACAGAATCGACCACAGGCTGAACTCATCCATCTTTCAGCATTTTCCACCAGGATGCTGTTTCTAGGAAGATTTCAGAGTGAGAAGGGAACACTCGGCTCTAGCTGCACAGACTTTCCTTTATGCAGAACAGTTGCAGCCACAATCAATCAGTTACATTATCATGATTATGGGACTTGCTTCCAGAGGATTAAAATATGATACAATACACTTCACACTAAAACTAGAGTGATCCTGATTTAGTCTCTGCTCTGGTGATGCAGAGGGCACTGTAGGATCCCACCATGGGCCCAGAGGTTCTGTTCTGAGTATTGCCACTCACTTCTGGGATCTCAAAAGCAGTTTGTTTATTTAAGTCCAGGTCTTTTGCATTCCATACACATGGATTCACACGCTTGGCAAGGAGATTCATACTGGAGGGGCTATCAGTCAGCAGGGGATATTCCAAGAGACATTCTAGAGGGAGGTTTGGATCAGGCTTTGGAAGGACTTGAGAGATGGGATTTGGTGGAAAGGAATTCCAGAATCAGTTATTGTCAGGGTTAATCATCATGACCAGATGAGGGCAGCCACAAGCAGTAATTGCTGGAGTATTGGGGTGGGGGTGGGAGGCAAAAGCTAATGCTTAATGTATTTATTGAACATTTATTATGTACTAGGCACTGAGCAAAAAGGCTTATATGCATAATCTCATTTAGAAAGCCTCTTAAATACTTTGCGGGAGAGGTACTATGAAAGCCATTTTGCTAATGGGAAAAGTCAAGCACACAGAGACAATTAATTGTTCAGAGTCCACAGTTACTGAGGGGCCATGCCATGCCTTGAGCCCAAGTCTGTGTGACCCCTCCCTGGGCTTCATCTTTGTGCTGCATTCCCTCCTAGAGATCAGTGTGCAGTGAGGCTGCCAGATGCAGGGCTAGACAGGGGCTGCTGAAGATGGGGGTGTTGTGGAACAAACGTCTACCCCAACTTCACATCAGAGTCAGGCCATTTGGGCATGTCATATAGGAGCTGATCTGCAGCCATAGCCTTTTCAGGACTTCTTCAGGCCTTTCAAAGGTAGGAGTCGAGTGCTGCCTTGTGTCATGATAGGGGCAGTCTCTAAAATCCTCAAGATTTGCAAAGGTCCTGGCAAGTTAAGACTGGAAGAGAGACCTCTGCGATTACCCATTACAATGCCTTTTTGTTTGATTTGATTGGTTAATGAGATTGCTACTTATTGTCTAAAAAAGACCCATTGCAAAAAGANTTAATGAATGCATTATTAGAAAGAAACAGGTTAGAGAAAAATGTATGTGTATGGGCACACAGTGCATAAAATATATAATGTCTATTGCATATTATAAATATGACATATAAATAAATTTCCTTAAACACAGATAAAGTAGTATTCACTCAAAACTTTTACAAATCATGCACAGGAGGAAATATATGTTCTAGCTAGTTCTGTGTCAGCACCATCACATCGGTGCCAGGCAGTGTCGAAATAGCCCTGTACAAAGCAGAAATAAACAGCTCGGGTGCTTCAACTTCTGGGATTCCAGAGCCCTCCTGGGCTTCAGTATTTTTCCCCCTGGGAGGACAGTTTAAAGGGGTGCTCAGAGGATCATTAAGACTATTCTAATCTGTAATTAATNTTGATTTGATTGGTTAATGAGATTGCTACTTATTGTCTAAAAAAGACCCATTGCAAAAAGAATTATAAGATGACCCCCTCAGAGTGGCCTTTCCTGACAACTCAATTCAAAGGCATACCCCACCTTCATCCCTCTTGACCCTATTACATTTTTTTCATACCACTTTTCTCCATCTGAAACTATTGTGTTCATGGAATCTTATTTGCCGGGTAGAATACAAGCTCCATGAGAACAGGAACCATCTTTATCTTGTTCTCTGCTTTGTCCTCAGCACCTAAAACAGCTTGTGGCTCATAGGAGACTCTCAATAAGTATTTGTTAAATGAATATGCATTTTGAAGAAAATATAGACTTTAATAACCAATGATGCTGACAAACATTAATGAATGCATTATTAGAAAGAAACAGGTTAGAGAAAAATGTATGTGTATGGGCACACANGGGAGGACAGTTTAAAGGGGTGCTCAGAGGATCATTAAGACTATTCTAATCTGTAATTAATGAGGACACCAATTTAGGGTTCAGATAAACATGCAGGGGAAACACTGGGGGTTTACCTAATACTTCCTTTTTATTGCGTTTACATCCTGATCCATCTCGCTCCGTTCTCTTGAAGATCTGACCCTCTCCTTCTGTGTGAAGAGCCGCTCCAGGAGGTGTGTAAATGCACCCTTGCAGGAAGCCGCCCGGAGGCGGCTCTGGGCTCTGGAGAATGAGGACCAGGAGGTTCGCGCACTGTTTAAGGTGAGCTTCAGAGGAAGCAGGTAAATTCTGAGAACCAGCTGTGTCCATTCCCTACAGGATCCCTAGCACCCAGGACAGCGCCCAGAACAAAGTAGGCGCTCAAGAAAACATCTGACTGACAGACTGAGCAAATGATTACGTGCACATTCTCTGCTTCACAGAGATGTGCAGGAACTTAGCATGGGGCCACGTAAAGTTGCTGCGTCAGAGAAAACCTGGTTTAAAATCTGCTACTGTTGTAACCTTCTGCAAGTTACTTAACCTCTGTAGAATGGGAATCTTTATAACACCTACCTCATAAATATACTTTTTTTACTAATGTGGTAATTTTGACTTTTATTGTTTTTTTAATGTGATTATGTATAATATAAAACTTTCCATTTTAATCATTTTGAAGTGTACAATTCACTATGATATTAAGTACATTCACAACGTATCCATCTCCAGACCTTTTCGTCTTCCCTAACTGAAACTCTGTACCTGTTGAACAATAACTCCCATTCTCCCTTATCCCCAGCCCCTGGTAACCACTAAGTATACATATGTTTTTCAAGTACCAAAATTGCCAGTCAAAAAACAATAACCACAAATATTATGATGAGAGGAAAAGATAATAAGTAAACAAACCAATTTCTCATCTTTAAAAGTGGGTAGATAATATCTTCAAGTGTTAAACCAAGAAAGAAAAGCATTATAAAATTATTTACAGTTTAGGAGGGATTAACTAGCAGAACTAGAGTCAGAAATGGATAAAAGTTGTTGCAACTAGAGGTGGAGGGAAGGAGAATATTGTTTACATAATAAATGAATATGTTCTAGTTATTTACAATCTCTGCATTAACTTGGTAGAA